AAGGCTTTGGGCTGGGGTCTCCAGCACCCCAAGAGCACTTGCCTTGAGCTAAAGAGCACAGGGACAGTGCCCAAGCCCAGGGTTCAAGCCCCATGACTGACAAAAAAAAAAAAAAAAGGAAGGAATATTCTGCAATGCTTTAAATTTGTGAGTAACAACTATCTAAAATTCCAGAGACATAAACAACAAACAATCCTAGCGACTCAGGAGGCTGGGATCTGAGAATCACAGTTCAAAACCAGCCTGGGCAGGAAGGTCTATGAGAGTCTGATCTTCAGTTAACCATCAAAACGTCAGAAGTGGAGCAGTGGCAGAGAACTAGCCTTAAATGAAAGAGCTGAGGGACAGCACCCAGGCCCTGAATTCAAGTCCCAGTACTGGTACGAAACGAAACAAAACACCACACACACACACACACACACACACACACACACACACACAAACACACAAAATGTGTGCTATGAATAACATGCTGGGTATATGGTAACTTACAGTATATTTTATAATCTTGAAATATTCCTTAGTATTCAAGTTGAATGATGCAAAACACAAAAAAAAATCTAAGAGAATAATTCATGTCACAGAATTGTTACGACAGGGGCTGGGAAGGTGGCTCAGTGGTAGAGCGCTTGCCTTGCATGCATGCATGAGGCAGGCCCTGGGTTCGATTCCTCAGCACCACATAAGCAGAAAAAGCTGGAAGTAGTGCTGTGGCTCAAGTACTAGAGTGTTAGCCTTGAGCTGAAGAGCTGAGGGACAGCACCCAGGCCCCACGACTAGCCAAAAATAAATAAATAAAGAATGGTTATGACAGAACTAGACAAAATATAAATTAGATCAAATCGAACGAACATCCCTACCCGGAACTGTCACCTGCACGATCGTAAGGTCTTCCATACTTGCTGCAGAAGCTGTGATACTGGACGAGTCTGTGTGTCCTTAAAACAGAAAGTTCAGTTCAGAATGTGGGGGGAATAAGGCCAATTCTCCACAAAGATTCAGAGTGTCATGGCTACCATCTAGGGGTAGAGTCCTTCTCTCTACTAGTTAAAGAATTAACTGGCAGGAAAGGGTTTAAGGTAAAGAGTAAGTTTGCTTGAAAATAAATGCCTTAAAACAAAACAGCAGAAACTCTCCATGTAAAGGGGTCTAAAGAGGATCCAATCCGGTCCTCTGGGGTGGGTTTTAGAGCTTGGGCTCCTCCCATACCTCCTCCCCAGGGCTGTGTGTTCATTGGTTGACAGCTAGTGCACAGACCACCCAGGCTCTTTTCATTGGTTGAATGGGAACCCAGGTCATTATGGAAAGTGTTTGAACAGGAACCCTGAGCATTATGGGAAGTAGTGTTTGAGTGGGAACCCTGGGCATTATGGGAAGTCATGTTTGAGTAGGGACCGAGGGCATTATGGGAAGAAGTGTTTGAGCAGGAAGCATTGGAGCACCAAGAAACACCATGATGGGATGTTACCAACTATGTTGTATTAGATCTCCCTCTTTTTTTTTTTTTTAAATCACCTTCTACTTATCAGTCTTCCATTTCCTCTGTTTCTCTCGCTTCTCTCTCTCTCAAGTGAAGTCCCCCCCCCCCCAGCTGTTCAGGAAGCAGAGTGAACACACAAAGTGGCTGTGATGAGGAAACTGGCCACCAACCTTCCATTTTCACGTGGGCTTGGGGGGCCTCGCTGGCTGCAGAGGAGCTCAGTGGTGCAGACTCTTGGAAAGAAACCATCTCAAATGACATCTGCAATGCGCCCTCCTGAGTCCCGCAGGTGGCCCTCCACCCTGCAGGGAGCTTGTCCCCACTCTGATCGCATGCCTGGTGAACAGGGGGCGTGGCTTCTACTGAGACAACAGATGACCCTGAGGGACTTTTTTGGAAGGCTAAGAGGAGACAGAGCCCTTCAGATCCCATTGTAATCAGCTCCCACCTTCTAGAAGGGCTGTGAGCATCACAGGTTCACAATGCATTCTGTTGTCATTAGGAATACTATGAGAAAAAGATGGCAGGGGCTATGGCTCACACCTGTAATTCCAGCTCCTCAGGAGGCTGAGATCTAAGATCACAGTTCAAAGCAAGACTGGACAGAAAAGTCTGTGAGATTCTTATCTATCTCCAATTAAGCCACAGTACCAGCAGCACCCACCAAACAAAACAAATAAGCAAACGGCAACAAACATCCTGCAAGCTTCTAAAACAGAGAGCAAGGGAGGGGGAGAGCATGAACCTGCTTCTCATGTTTCTAACCTCTCATTGTCACATCCATTTCCATGGCTTTGTTGCTCGTGGACTCGAGGCTTCCTGAAAGGAAAATGTAAGCAATGTAAGGATGAAGGGAGAAACATAAATTAGAAAAAGGTGATCTAATAACACATACAACTCAAGGCCCACAGGAATGCTGAACTACTTCTACTACTTGGAGTAGAATGTTGGAATGCAGGTAAGCAAACTGCTTTTATTGTTTTATTGTGTGCATCAGTTCTGGGGCTTGAACTCAGAGCCTGGATGCTGTCCCATGGCTTTTTTTTTTTTTTTTTTTTTTTTTTGCTTTTTTTGTAACCAGGCAACTGAAGGTTGGTCAATCACAGCAGTCAAGATTCAGCTGATCACAAATTGCCCACTGATTAGACCATGTGCATAGAAGGCAGGCAAATGCCCATTGCAGCCAATCAGATTGGGTTTGGCTGACAGTTCCATTCATTGGGAATGTAACCTGCCCGTGTGGGTGTGGGTAAGTGGGGGCGGCTGTTGGTGTGTGCAGGGGTGGGCGGTATGAAACTCAGGAGCATCTTTCTCATGGAGTTCTTTATAGATTTGAGCCTTTGTTGCTGCTGTAGTGAACTGTGATAGTTAAGTGGTCTCAGGAGAAAATTAAACTGTGTAAATATTGTGTTCTAAATTTAGCATAGGTTGATGACTCCTGCTTTACTCAGTGTTTTATTCTAACGAATAAATAAAAGGTGCTTTTCCCACTGCAGCTGCTTTCCACTATGCAGTAAGTGGCTGTTTAAATCTAGATTCTACCAAAACTTACACATGGGGGTCAGAGTGGCAGATGGCTCTACATAGCGTGCCCAAGGCTTTGGGCTGGGGTCTCCAGCACCCCAAGAGAAGCTGACAAGTGCCCTCAGCACACATGGTCATGCCACTCAAGTAGCTTATTTTTTTCTGGTCGGTCGTGGGGCCTGAACTCTGGGCCTGGGCTCTGTCCCTCAGCTCTTCAGCTCAAGGCCAGCGCTCTACCACTTGAGCCACAGCGCCTCTTCTGGCTTTTTTCTTTTTGCTTATGTGGTGCTGAGGAATCGAACCCAGGGCCTCATGCACGCAAGGCAAGCGCTCTACCACTGAGCCACCTTCCCAGCACCTCAAGTATCTTTCATCGTTTTTGGAGACTGAACTGGGCCTCGCTCTCCTGTTACCACATGAGCCAAGTAACAAGCCAGCAAGATGTCACATGATGAGCCGCCCTGGCTTTTGTCTTCTTTGACCCGAACTTGCTGGTTTTGCCTGTTTCTCAAGTTCTGGTGTTTACGGAATTTGTGGAGGTTATTCATGGCCTCCAATATTTCCTGCAAATTGCTGGCTACATCAAGAGGCTTGATCGGACTGTTTGGGGTGGGGTGGTGGTGAGAATCCTGTCCAAAGGCGGCATATTTTTTGCCCACCTCCAGCAGGAAGCTGTGATTATGTCTGATCCAACCTTCTTATTTTTTTTGTGCCAGTCCTGGGGCTGGAACTCAGGGCCTGGGTGTTATCTCTGAGCCTCTTTGTACTCAAGGCTAGTGCTCTACTACTTGAGCCACAGCACCACTTCTGGATTTTTCAAAATAGTTTATTGGAGGTAAGAGTTTCATGGACTTTTCTGCCCAGGCTGGCTTTGAACTGTGATCCTCAGATCTCAGCCTCCTGAGTAGCTAACATGTCAGGTGTAAGTGGTCAGTGCCTGGCTTCATTGTTCTGTTTCTCTATGTTTGAATATTTCTCTTTGCCATTGATTTGTAGTTTTCTTTCATTGTTGTCTGATAAAACAGGTGGCTGTTTCTATTTGTAGTATTTGTGAAGATTTGTTTTATGTCCTAAATACGATCCATTTTGGAGACAATTCCCTGGGCTAAGGATGCTATAGAAGTATTCTGTAGATGTGTGTTAAATGCATCTGCTTCCAGTGTCGTTTAATTTGGAAGTTGATTTGATCTTTGGGGTGTGGCTAACCTGTCCATGGTGAGAGGGAGGTGTTGAAGTTGCCCGCTGTTACTATCTGTGGGTCTCTCGGTGTCCTGTAGTCTCTCTATGTCCAAGTTGGCTATGTGTACCTTGGTACTGTTACACACAGCTTCTCAGGGGATTGCTTCCTTTATTTATTTTATTTATTTATTTATTGGGTCCGGTTGTGGGGCTTGAACTCTGGGCCTGGGCGCTGTCCCTCAGCTCTTCAGCTCAAGGCTAGCGCTCTACCACTTGAGCCACAGCGCCACTTCCAGCTTTTTTTTCTGCTTATGTGGTGCTGAGGAATCGAACCCAGGGCCTCAGGCATGCAAGGCAAGGAATGCTTGCCTTCAAACCGCGATCCTCAGATCTCAGCCTCCTGAGTAGGTGAGATTATAGATGTGAGCTACCGGCCTCTGGCTGCATGTCCCTTTCATCTCTGCCTCTTTCCTTGGCTCGGCCTGAACCACATGCTGCAGCTCTTGCTCTCTACATTCCAGATGGCCTCGACTCTCTTTTTTATTTTTCTGGTCGTGGGGCTTGAACTCAGGGCTTGGGCACTGTCCCTGAGCTTTGTGCTCAAGGTTGGCAATCTACCACTTGAGCCACAGCATCACTTCTGATTTTCTGGCAGTTAATTGGAGATAAGAGTCTCATGGGTTTTCCTGCGTGGGTTGGCTTTGCACTGTGATCCTCAGATCTCAGCCTCCTGAGTAGCCAGGATTACAGGTGTGAGCTGCTGGTGCCATACTCTTACTTTTTGGTGGCACTTGTTCACTCTGCCCTGGCGTCTGCATCCTCGTGGCACGGGCAGAGCCTGGGCACTGGAGTGACTGCAGTCTGTCCCAGCTGCCCATGTGTGTGCGGCCTGCCCCCTGTCATGGTCCTCCCCGCACCGGCTGTGGGAGCGCCTCGATCGGGGTGGCATGGGCCTCTGCTCTACCGCTTCCTGCTCCCCTCTCAGTGGTCTTGGTGCCAGGGGATGGGCTGGCCTGGCCTGGCTGAAGTGTGCTTCATGACTGCTCCCTGCACATGCGCGGGGGCCAGGCTATGCCACCTGTGGGCTTGGGGGGGGGCAGGGTCAGCATGCATGGGTGGGGCCGTCACCTCCTGTCATTTGAAACATGGAGAAGGAAAGTGCTGGAGGCAACATTACCTTGCACACCACCCTCATCGTCCTCAGGATCCTCTGACTCTCTCTTGACAGACACGGCCTCATTTCTCGGCGACACACTTGTGTGTGACACACCTGTGTGACAAACAGTACAGTCAGAGTCCCCCACGTCTTTTGGTCCCACTTGTGTGGATAGTGACCCTGTGCTCTGCCAGTGGCTGCCTGCGTGGGACCAGCGCCAACGGGACACTGTGTGGCTGGTGACCCACTTGTGACCAGCATGCTTCTCTGGAAAGCAGCTGCCAAGTAACAGAACACCAGTGGGAGCCAGGACGGGTGGCTCATGCCTGTAACTCCAGCTACTCAGGGGACTGAGATCTGAAGATCTAGGCTTGATGGGCTGGGAAGGCAGCTTAGTGGTAGAGTGCTTGTCTTGCGTGCCTAAGGCCCTGGGTTCGATTCCTCAGCACCACATAAGCAAAAAGAAAAAAGCCGGAAGTGGAGCTGTGGCTCAAGTGGTAGAGCGCTAGCCTTGAGCTGAAGAGCTGAGGGACAGCGCCCAGGCCCAGAGTTCAGGCCCTATGACCGGATCTCCCCTCCCACCCCCCCAAAAAAAAGATCTAGGCTTGAAGCCAGCCTCCAACAGGGAAGTCCAAGAGACTCTTATCTCCAATGAATCACCAAAAGCTGAATGTGGAGCAGTGGCTCAAGTGGTAGAGTACCAGCTTTGAGCAAAAAAGCTCAGGTATGGCACCCAGGCACTGAGTTCAAGCCTCAGCACCAACAGAAAAAAAAAAAAAAACCAACACAACCACTTGATAGATTGCTAAATACTCAATTCTAGAAGTGTCCATGCACCTACCAGAATCCTCCTCAGGTTCAGTTTTCACATCAATGGGGCCACAGCTGCAAGAAGCAAGGGAACTCTGTTCAGACAGGCAGTAAAAGCCAGGCCGCAGGCCCTTTGCACATGCAGAGTTCCCAGGTCCCCACTCCATTTCATCAATCTCATGCAAAACCACCTCAACTATAACCAGGAAGTTCTTAATGATCGGCTACAAAATTAAACATGGTGGTAGTATTCAACTCAGATTCCTTGGATTCCTCCCAATGAAAACTACGCACAGTAAGGAGGAACCTGTCCACTCTCTTTTATACTGTGTCTATCCCTCCCCCCCTCCCCCAGTACTGGGGCTTGAACTCAGGGTCTCACACTCATTCAACTTTCTTGCATGGCTGGTGCTTTACCATTTGAGCCACACTTCCAGTCCTATTTTTTGGTAGTTAACTGGAGCTGAAGTCTCATAAATTTTCTTGCCTGGGCTGGCCTTGAACCTCGCATGTCAACCTCCTGAGTAGTAAGGATGACCGGCGTGTGCTATAGCCCCAGGCTGGTTCTGAGCATGTTACATAGCATGGGCTGGCCTGGAACTCGTGACCCTCCTGCCTGTCATCTCAGGACTGGAATTACAAGCATGTGCCACGACTCCTGGTTGTGCTTTTGCTTTTTTTAGTCGGTCATGGGCTTGAACTCTTGGCCTGGGTGCTGTCCCTCAGCTCTTCAGCTCAAAGCGAGTGTTCTACCGCTTGAACCACAGCGCCACTTCTGGTTTTCTGGTGTTTAACTGGAGATAGGAGTCTCACGGACTTTCCTGACAGGGCTGGCTTTGAACCTCAATCCTCAGATCTCAGGCTCCTGAATAGCTAGGATGACAGGCGTGAGCCACCAGCACCCAGCCGCTGCTCTGTTCTTTACCTCTCATTTGGTGGCAGGGTTGATCGCTCAGCCTCCATGGGCATCTCACAGCCATCTGTTAGGAATAAAGACACACTGGTCTCCATGAGCACCTTCAGATATGGCCGCTGGCCAGGCGTGTGGAAGGAAAGGAAACACAGAGGCAATGGGACTTCTGCTCAGGCCCACGGGCTGGGAGCAGGGGCAGCGAGCCCACCACAGCTGAGACTATGGAAGTGCTGTGGCGGGGCAGGTACTGAGACTCCGTGTGTGGATGTGGTCCCTGTATGCATGTATGCAGGGGTGCCTCTGTATGCGGATGTGGCCTATGTGTGGCTGTGGTCCTGTGGGGACCCATGTGTAGGTGTGAGCCCTGTGTGTGGATGTGGGCTGTGTGTGGGTGCAGGCGTGGGCTCTCTGTGCGGGAAGGATGCCAGCAATGGGGTGGCTGGCTGCAGGACCCTGCTGAGCCCCCGTTTCTGCTGTCCGAGAATGGGGTGAGGGGGGGGAAGTGTTGTCTGCCCACGAGCTCCAAATGCCACTCCTCCCCAGCCAGCTCTGAACAGCAGCCATTCCTACTGTGTTTGTTCACCAGATGTGTGGTTTGGAGGTGACGCTGTTCTGTGCCAGCCGTGAGGCCCCACGGGGCATGGACTCACACGTGAGGCTTGGAATGGCGCCCGGGACACATAAGGTCCATGGGACATGCAACGTGCTTGGAGCTGAGCCCGGCACCACACCAGCCCTAACCCATGGCTCATCCCCACTACTTAGGGTTCATGGTGGCAGTCACAGGCTCAGGCCACTCACAAAGGCCACACGCCACCCCCTGTACCCGGCCTTGAGGGTCAGGTTCCACCCGCCGCCTCTCTCCCCAGCCAGGCTTGGCCAACACCCCATGGGCGGGTGACATCTTTCCCTAGGCCTGCGCTCCAGCGTGGGCTCCTGTTAGGTGTCCACCCTGGGAAGAAGCGGTCACTCACCCAGCAGCCCGTTGGCTCCATGGACAGGTCTGCAGGAAGAACGACACACAAGAGAAATGCGGACAGTTAGCACTGTGGGCAGTGCTGGGACCTGATGCTTGCTACAGGGCTCTACCACCCAAACCACACCCTCAGCTCTTTCTTCTTCTGTCGTTTTCCTGGGTCAGCCTCAGACTACGACTACTCTACCTCCACCTCCCTAGCAGCTAGGACTACAAGCATGCACCACTAGATCTGGCTGATCACATTTAAGCTCCCAGCTGCAGGCGCTCTACCAAGGTAACATGCTTCCAGCTCATTTTGTTACTGGTTGTTTCAGAGATGGGATTTCATTGCTACTCAGTTGTTTGGGCTGCAAATCTCCTATGTTTCTTTTCCTGTTGGAGCTGAGTGACAGGGGCATGCCACCACGAGCAGCTCATTCCACTGGAGTCTTGCAGGCTTGTTCCGCCCGGGCTGGCCTGAAATTGTAATCCTCTGGATCTCAGACTCCCAAGTAGCTAGGATGACAGGCAGGGGCTGCCACGTCCAGCCCCAGCTTTCCTTCATACAGACCACTAGGATGGCCTCGAACACGTCACCTGCTGACGACGAAGGAGATTCTTTCCTTGTTCGCCAAAATCCACTTCAGGGTGGCAAGGTCGTAGTTCTCGGGACGCTGGAAGGCCAGTCCTTCTGGCAGCCCGTACACCCCCACAGCCGCCTGGCCACACAGCATCTGCTCGTAGGGCACGGATACCGGGGCCACAGTCCCCAGGGCTTTGCCTGGAACAGTGTGCGCAGACACCAGCTTCGCTTAACATCCACCACAAAGGCACACCACAAATGCAGACATGGTGTTGGGCTTTGAAGGGACATTCGATCACTCTCCCCATCTACAAATTAAAGTAATCCCAGCCGGTGGCTCATGCCTATAATCCCAGCTATTCAGGAGGCTGAGATCTGAGGACTGTAGTTCAAAACCAGCCTAGACAAACAAATGTATGAAACTCTTATCTCTGATCAACTAGCAAAATGCTAGAAGTGGAGGTGTGGCTCAAGTGGTAGAACACCAGTTTTGAATGCAAAAAGTTGAACAAGAGGTGCAAAGCCATGAGTTCAAGCTCCAGTACTGACAAACAAAACGAAATAAAAACCAACCACCCTTGGTCCTCCAGATCTGCCTCCTGAGTAGCAAGGATTACAGGCATGAGCACGGGTACCTGGCTATAAATGCCTACCTTACTACATGACGAAGGGGTAGGGTGGGAGAGGGCTGAGAGGCCACAGAATCTATGTGGGAAGTCTTTCACTGCAGTCCTGGCCTCCGTGTGAGGCTCTCGGAGGGGGATCAAGGACAAGTCTGACAGATGTGGGGTTTGGATGGATGGGAGATGACCGAGCTGTGTTCTGGGTGACGCAGCCAGGTCCCCAAGCACTAGGCTGTGCAAGACACGAGCCTGGGTTTGAAGTCACACTTGCACACCCATCTGCATCCAGCTGTGCCCTTGGCTTGCTTATTCATGGCTGATGCTTAACCCCCTGAGTCATGCCTCCAGTTCAGCATTCTGCTGATCAATTCGAGAGAGTCTTCTGGACTTTCCTGCCCAGGCTGGCTCTGAGTCATGATCCTCCAGATCTCAGCTTCCCAAGTAGCTAGGAAGGAGGACAGGGGCGAGCCCCCTGCATCCCTGCTCCAGGTTCTCTTGCCCCGGTCCCTGTTCTTTGGGGACCATCTAGAGACTCGTGTACAACATGTACTGACCATAACATGAGCAGAAGTAGGCGTCCACCGCTCTCCTGAGCACCTCGGCCTCCCCACAGTGCACCTGTGGCTTGATTGCAGGGCTTGGAGGCTTCTCCTTGCTCCACCGTTCCTCACAGCCTGAAAACAGGGGTGAGGGGGTGGGGTTAGAATCCACTCATTTTACTGTCCCCTGCGATCCGAAGCAAGAGGAAGAAACAAAACAGGTTAAAAAAAATTTTATTTTTGTTGGTCATGGTGCTTGAACTCTGGTCCTGGGCACTGTCCCTGAGCTCTTTAGCTCAAGGCAAGTACTCTACCACTTGAGCCACGGTGCCACTTCCAGTTTTCTGGTGGTCAATTGGAGGTAAGAATCTCATGGACTTTCCTGCCCAGGCTGGCTTTGAACGGCAATCCTTAGATCTTAGCCTCTTTGGTAGCTAGGATTATAGGTGTGAACCATCGGTTCCCGGCTCCGAGCTTTTTTTTTTTTTTTGCCAGTCCTGGGGTTTGAACTCAGGGCTTGCGCTCTGTGCTGAGCCTCTTTGAGCTCAAGGTTAGTGTTCTACCACTAGTGGTACCACAGCACTACTTCTGGCCTTTTCTGTTTATGTGGTACTGAGGAATCGAACCCAGGGCTTCAAGCATTCTAGGCAAGCACTCTATCACTAAACCACCTTCCCAGCCCCTCTCTGACCTCTTTTGTTAAAGGCTAGCACTCTATCACTTTGAGCCACAGTGCCACTTCCAGTTTTCTAGTGGTTAATTGGAGATGAGTCTCAACTTTCCTGACAGGGCTGGCTTTGAACTCGGATCTTCACATCTCGGTCTCCTGAGTAGCTTAGATCACAGGTGTAAGGCACTGGGTCCTGGCCAGAATATCTTTTTACTTGGCACACAAGGACTGTATCTGGATTTCATTAGGACATTTGCATATCAATTCCTTGTCATTAAGAAGAAAGACAGCTGGGAATGTGGCTCAGTGGTAGAGTGCTTGCCTAGCATGCATGAAGCCCTGGGTTCGATTCCTTAGTACCACATAAGCAGAAAAAGCTGGAAGTGGTGCTGTGGCTCAAGTGGTAAAGTGTTAGCCTAGAGCAAAGGAAGCTCAGGGACAGTGCCCAGGCCCTGAGTTCAATCCCAGGACTGGAAAAAAAAAGAAAAAAGAAAGAGTGGGATGTTTGCAAATGTGCTGCTTATCCCTGAAATTAATCTGTCCACCCTAGCTACTTAGGAGGCTGAGATCTGGAAGACAGGTTCAAAGACAGCTCAGGCAGGACTGGAAAGCAAGGCACAAATGGTAGGGCACCAGCTGTGAGCAATCAAGCCATGTAAGAGTCAAGGCCCTGAGTTTGAGCCCAGATGCCAGCAGTAAAATGAAAATGAAACAACCCTGGACATGCAGGGCCCTGGTGGCAGGCACATGTCTTTCCACACATTTGGAAATCTGCAGCAGAAGATGGCTTGAGCCCAGGAGTTCTAGACCTGCCTGGGCAACACAGGCCCTATCCAATGACACTTTAGTCTACAGTCTTTGAATTTATCCTACAAAACTCAAGTGTACTGGGGTGGAGGCCGAGCACAGGGCGCGGGTATGAGGCGGCTGTCCACCATGACGACGCTGGCGTGGGGGAACGTGGGGAACGTGAGTGTGCGTGGAGAACGTGGGCACAAAGGTCTGCGGGCTTCACGACTCAGGGCGAGGATGAAGCCAGCACGTACAGTAGGCTGAGAAGTCCTTCTGCAAGTCCTTCCTGGCATTGACGAAGGCGCGTCCCCTCTCTGTCCCAACTACGAACACATCGGTCTCATATATGGCCATGCAGGCCACTTCCGCCTTGGACTTGGCCAGCTCCTTACACTGCAAGCAGACAGACAAAAGTGGCAGAGAAACTATCAAAAATGCTTTTGGTGGGGCTGGGAAGGTGGCTCAGTGGTAGAGTGCTTGCCTTGCATGCACCACATAAGCAGAAAAGGCTGGAGGTGGCGCTGTGGCTCAAGTGGTAGAGTGCTAGCCTTGAGCTGAAGAGCTGAGGAACAGTGCCCAGACCTAGAGTTCAGGCCCCATGACTGGCAAAAAAAAAAAAAAAAGCCATTTTCAGATATTATGGCAAACTGTACAGCCCCACAGCCTCATCTACATGTGGATGCACTCTCCTCTTTTTTTTTTCGGGGGGGGGGGAAGGGGAGCAGTCATGGGGCTTGAACTCTGGGCCTGGATGCTGTTTCTGACCTCTTCAGCTCAAGGCTAGCACTCTACCACTTGAGCCACAGCGCCACTTCCAGTTTTCTGGTGGTTAATTGGAGATAAGAGTCTCACCAACTTTCCTGTTTGGGCTGGCATTGAACTGCTACCCTCAGATCTCAGCCTCTTTACTAGCTAGGATTACAGGCATGAGCCACCAGCACCTGGCCTGGTGGTTTATGGAGATAAGAGTCTCATGGACTTTCCTGCCTGGGCTGGCTTTGAACTGCTATCCTCAGATCTCAGCCTCCTGAGTAGCTAGGATTACAGGTGTGAGCCACTGGTACCCACCTTGTACTCTCCTTTTGCAGCCTCATCTTCATCTTTATCAGGGACCCAGGTAGAGTGGGAGGCAATGTTCTACTACAGTGTGACAGCCTCCATCTCAACAATCATTTCTTGGAGGATTTGAACTCAGAGCCCCCACCTGCTAGGCAGGTGCTAGGCCACTTAAGCCATGCCCCTACCACGTAAGCCTCTGCTTTTGCCATTTTGTTTGTATTTTTGTGAGACAGAGGTTTTGTTTCTTGCTCAGATTATGCTTGAACTTGAAATACTCCTGCCTCATCCTCCTAAGTGCTGGGATTACAAGTGTATGCTATCACACCCAGCCTAACAGACACCTGGACTTGCCCCTCCCCCACGGGAGCAGATGCCACCTCACCATAGATTCCAGTGCAGACACAAGAAACGTCACCACCATCCGATTTTCTGACAACTCCTCATCTTCAACGGGCAGGGAGGACATCGCTACCTGGGCCATGGTTCCTGGGCAAGAGGGGCAAGGAGGACGTGAGTAGCACAGCCCCAGGGGCCCTCTGACTGCACACTCACTGGGAGAGTGCTCACAGGTAAAACCTTCCCTCCCAGATGAAGCTTTTCCTGTTAGGTGTTTGTTTGCAGTCCAGGGGATGGGCTGGCTCTACGCTGGGCTATGCTCCACCACTGAGCCCAGCCTTGAACTATTAAAAGAACTTCAGGGTCTTACCTCAAAACTACTGAGTCAGGGAAGGGCCTGTGTCTCAAGTCTGTAATCCTACCTACCCGAAAGGCTATTAGTTTAAGGCCAAAGTAGAAAAGCTCTTGAGACCAAAGGAGAGCTGGAGGCATGGCTCAAGCGAGTGGGGATGCAGTGAGTGGCACTGCCGTGGTGTCACACTGAACAGCTTTTTTACCAAGGGTTCCAGCAAGAAAACTGGGTAAACAGAGGCAGCTGTATGGAGAAGCTAAACATGGTAAGGTGTGTGTGCGTGTGTGCACATGTGCGTCCCTCCCAGGAAAACAGGAGCTTTTCTACTCAAGGCTCACGCTCTACCGTTTGAGCCAGCTCCCTTTCCAGCTTTTTGCTGGTTAACTGGAAGTAAGTCTCAGGGGCTTTCCTGACCCAGCTGGGTTTGAACTGCCATCCTCTGGTCTCAGCCTTCTGAGTAGCTGGGATTCTACAGGGGTGAACCCTGGCGCCGGGCCTTGAAGGCGTTCTAACCCCTTAGCTCGGGCGGGAGGGCAGCCCCCAGCGCTGCCAGCCTTTCCCCGTGAACTCTAGACCGGAGGCGTAGAGCCGCGCTCCAACCCCGCCCGGTCGGGCACGCCCACAAACCCCACACCAAGCGTGACGTAAGGAGGCGGAGCCGGAGAGCGGTTACCAGGCAACAGCGGCGGCCCCGCCTGCTCACCTAACCAATTAAACGCGCCACACGTACGCTGGGCGGAGCGTAAGCTCACGCTCACCGGTCTCGCAGAGCCCCGCCTCCTGAACTCGCTCAGCCAATCAGTATAGAGGAGGACGGGCGCGCGCTCGGTGGCCGCGCGGCCGGGCTTTCCGCCCCACCCCCACTGCTCGGGGCCTGCCCGTGGGAACGGGATTCGGGGGATGCGCGACGGCCGCAGGCCGCCTCCCCGGGTCTTCCGGAGGACAGTCTCTGTGGCGAGCACCCGCTCGTAAAGGCGGCGGGGTCGGTACCCACCTGAGGCGCTGGCCGGGGTCCGAGGCCTGGCCGGGGGCGGGAGGCGCG